CAATCGATTTTTGACTGGGACATCATCAATTCCTTCAAGTTTTTTTTGTCCTACACGTTCCCAGTGGAACACAGGGCTTCAAGCTTGAGCTTTGAAGTTTCAGGAGCAGTGGTGTTTATTTTTTGCCGGATTGGGTTGCTAACCTTACGATCAGCCTCCGCTCTTTGTCGGGATTATAACGGGCTAAGGGAGGTAAAGGTGTGCGCCGGCTAAGGCTCAAACCCCGGACCACATACGTGGTTAACCAGCACTCTACGGCTGAGCCACCGACGTACATTCATTCAAGTAGCTGACCAAATGGGTGAATTGGTCGTTTGGTATCCAGACCACTTGAATAATTTAGCTACCAAAACACTACTGGTTGATGTGAGTGGTATACAATTACTTATTTCAAATAATTAGTAGTATATATATATGTAATCTTATGCATTTATGTCTGGCGAAATGATGTTAAAAAGAATGGCTAACTACAACAATGCACGTATGATTAAAACGTTGAAGAATATTCACTTTCTGTCCAACAATAATAAGACAGGTTTGTTCCACTACATCATTAAAGACTTTAGATAAAAAATGTGGTGATAATCACCAACAAAGGTATATGGTTTTGTAAATTAATCGAGGTTATAAAAGTTTTACCACGGATTGATATTAGTTACAGAACCGTTAAAAACCAACCAGGGAGTACTGAACAGCTGTTTCATCCTAGTTTGGGAGTCATCGTCAGTACGCACCCACCACCACGTTTCGAACTCAGGACCTTCAGGTTACAAGGCAAGCTGGCTCGTATACCATCCAGACAATGAATCGGGTCCCACTGGCTGAATAGTATACGAATTTGCCTTGTAACCTGAAGATTTTAGATTCGAACCCTAAGGGATGCGTACTGCTGATGATGATTTCCAAACTAGGATGAAACAGCAGCTGTCCAGTAGTCTTTGGCTGGTTTTCAATGATTCTCTAGCTGATATCAATCCGTGGTCAAACCCGTAAAAACAAATCTAATCCTTACAAACCAACTTTTGAAAAGAGGTTAAACCTATTTAATTATATTTCAGATTAAACAGTTGGCAATTAAACAATAATATTTGTCAAAAATAATCCCCTTTTTAAAGTTAATTTATATTGATGAGTTAATGAATAGTTTAAGAGCATATTAGGGCGAGTCAACTAGATACCTGCCTCTCACTTGAAATTGTTTATCCTAAATACATAAATACGAATAATGTTTACACACAAATAGTTGTGAATACCCATCATCATCATTATCATTGTCGTTATCATTAGCATCATGATAATGATCATGATAAGTGTGCTTGACTCATTACGGATATTGTGAATCAGTATTTTTTGTTTTTGGGTGTGGCCTTAGAAAAAATCACATTATTATTATTATTATTATTATTATTATTATTATTATTATTATTATTAGAGGAGAAAGCTGTGTATAGTTAGTTGTAAGGGGAGTAGGAGTTGAAAATATGGTCAACTATGGGAGTAACTTTGTTTTTTTTCTGTTTTGTTTTGAAGTCAGAATTTATATAGTTATTTATTTTACTAAGCATCCTCAGTTAATTTTTTTTTATTGAGAAGAGCATCTTGTAGCATTGGTTCTTGTAGCAGAAGGGTGCTTTATTTGGTCAATTACTCACCGATCGCTTTCATGGTATACCTTGAGTCTGATATCTTTCGACCAGCATTCAGAGAGTTCAAAGTTTGCAAGCAGTATATGGATGATGACTTTGTCATCATTGATAAAGCTACTGATTTAGACAAAATCTTGCGAATCCTGTAAAAGAGCTAATTGGTCAACCGAATTTCAAACTGAAGAGTAATCAAAAGCAAACTATCCTATCTACAGGTCCAGCTTATAAGACATTCATATTAGAAAGATTAGTCTTTTGTAAGTAAAATGTGAAGTGAATAGCTGACAAACCTCCACACTTTTGTCCCAATAAATAAACACGAAATCTCACCACTCCTCTTGCGACGACAGTCTACCTCATGTGCACTGAAGATGCATGGAATAAAGAACTAGAACCTTGCAGAAACAATCTAATCAAAAATGAATATCCAACCTTCTTTATCGGCAAACATCTGAAGACAAAGACTAGTACTCTGAGAAACCTGGATGCTCTGAAGGAACAACCAGTGTACATCTGTGACTCAAGGCAGATACAATCAATGAAGTTCTCCAAAGCCGACTGCCGAGAGCAATTCAAAGAACCTTTCTCTACTCTCCATGTCCTCCAACCCTGCTCTTTTCCACCAAAATTGCAAAAGACAAGATCTCTCTACTGGCAACTCCAGTGTAAATTTACCTGCTCACCTGCTTCTGTGGAGCTAAGTACATAGACTGTACCAGCAATACATTGCCTAGACTTGCTCGTGAACACATACCAACATGGTCAAAGAGGAGAAAGCAGAACAATCAGTAGCTCAACTTTAGAACACATTATTACTTCTGATCATGCATCATTATCAGAGATTTCGATTCAGAGTTATAGACAAAGTACGAGAAAGCCATTCAAATGGATCTTGCTAACATCTTCTTCATACAGTCAAGACATTAGCCGTTCATCAGAAGAAACCTGAAATTTGTGTATTCAAATGCTTTGATTACAGTGGCCTTAAATGTTTTTTTTTTCTTTTCTGTTTTCCAGAATGTTGGCATAGTGAAATTTATGTAGTCTAATTTGGTATTTTTTTATAAGCTCTCTCGTTTCTTGTCACTTATTTCCAAACGATTTTTCACCAATTAACTGATTAGTTTTCAACCCTTTTGATTCATCAAGGCTATTCTCAATTGTGCAGACATTGTTGTTGCTCTTACACGAATTTATTTTGTTACTAAGTGACAATAACCTCTGACCTCAGTTGTTAGTTAATGTGATATATATATATAAATATATATAATCTTAGTTACACGACATGGGAATTGTTCTTACCTTGAAAAGTAAATAAGAATATCATGTAAAATTCATTAGACAAAACAGTTTGATACAGAAAAAGAAATTCAACAACTTGTTAGCTATCAGATCATTTATCTCATGGATACTGGAGATTTTAGTAATTTGGATCTTTGCTCAAACTTGTTTGTCTTATCTTTATTGGATCAGTGTTTTTTTAAATGAATGCCTTAAAACGCAGTTTAAAAAGTTACTTTGTATTTTAAAGTGTAGTTTCAAACAATATCATTGACGATCTATGTGTGACTTGTACTACTATCAAGACTGAACAGTAGTATATAAAGGGAAGTTCGTCGACACAAAAAGTATCAAAACGCGGGGAAATAGATCTAACGTCAGAGAGAGAGAGAAAATGAACCATTACTGCAGCAAAACACGGGAGACACGAAATGGAGACAAAGATATACAGCACTTAGAGCAGAAGTAGCATAACATGGAAGATCTGTGCAAACGACTATTTTAATATACGATATACATAGTTTCCCCGTGTACGTTGGTGGCTTACTGGTAGGACACTGTCCAGCTAAGCAAATCGTCCGGGATTCAATCTCCGGAACTATGAACTGCTTTTAGAAATCCTGTTGCTGAACAGTTTTCTCTTTTATCTCTTGTTACCATCCCAGTACAAAAGTCATTATTCGGGAAAGTTTTTAATTTAACAAAATAATTCAATTAGTTTCAGTTTCTAATTGGTGGATGGTGACTAGCTGTGGAATCCAGGATAACGCGCATTTCGTCCTATTTGGGACTCGTCAGCTGGATGTACCTGCATTTCTCAGTGAGTAATGACGTTCCCACCGAAGCTCGAACCCAGTACCCATAGTTTCAAACGCCAAAGCGTTATCCACTAGACCACTTGGGCCGCGAGAGCCACCTCTTGTGCAACGGGTCATATTAATTATTGAATCGAATTTTGATTTTCCCGTCGATTGATTGGACCGAAGTGCTCAGTCTCAGATTGACATGTCGGCTTCTTGTGCAGATGCTTCGACGATGTCTGGGCATTTAGTTAGTATTTAATTGGTGGATGGTGACTAGCAGTGGAATCCAGGATGCGGAATTCAATTCAATAGTTTCAGTTTCGATACTTAAAAATGTCAAAATTTTCAAGTATTGGTTTCGTAGGGATTTTATTTTGTTGGTTTGAGGATTTCATCATGAGATAACATCGTTTAGAGAAACACTGGAAAACCTGCAGAGAGTACTGGACAGCTGTTTCGTCAGCCTAGTTTGGGACTCTTCAGAAGTACTTACCCACCGCCAGGGTTCGAACCCACGACCTTCTGATTACGAGGCTAATGAGCTCATAGACCATTAAGCCACTGGGATCCGCCTATCCAATGGCCAGCCCGTGAATTCTAACTCCCACCAATTCATGATATATTGCGTCCACTTCACAATGTCTTCTTCGATGAGTTACTGCCTCACCTTCAACCTGCTATGCCCTACTGGTCATGGATTCCCACTAGAACTGCCTAGGGTTTGAACCCCGGTGGGTGTGTACTGTGAATAGTCCCAAACCAGGACGAAACAGTTTTCCATTACTCCCTGGTGGGTTTTCCAATGGTTCTCTGATGTCATCTCATGATGAAGTCCTCCATTCAATGTCAAAATTGTTAATATGTTTGGTGGATCAGCTCAAGGGTTGACCATCGAGATGAAATAGTCTCCAAATTCAATACTTCGTAATATTATCAGAGGGTAAATTTAATACCGGTACACATAAAACTGACTTTACTTGGCCATAAAATCTAATAGGCTTTTCAAGAAAGAAAAAAATACAACACGACACTTAGTAATGGTGGGTGCGTGTGTGTGCGTGATCTCTTGAATGATTGTCAAGTGACCATCTTGATCTCAGCATGAATTGTTGTACATTAATCACATCTAAATACATAGTACACTTCTGTTACGTTAGCAAGAGCCAACTTAACTGAAGTGGCCTTAATTCTTAGAATAATTTTTCCCCTACTTATTATATACTCAATTACACTTAATTATCGATTTATTTTTTTTAAAATTTTATTCTAGTTGGTATGGAAAAATCGTGTTACAAAGTGTAAATGTCATGGTGTTAGTGGAGCTTGTTCAATGCGTACATGTTGGCAACGTGTCAATGAATTTCGTCTTGTCGGTATAATGCTGAAAACTGCTTATGATCAAGCTATACGTGTAACCTATGAACCAAGATTAGACATTTTAAAACGAATTAATATTGGAAGAGGCACAAGTAATTATGAAAAATACATCCACAATAGTAATAATAATAATTATCCGAATAAACGAAATCCATCATCATTGTCAACACATTATAAACATGATACAAAGAATTGGTTAGTTGTCATTAATAATCATAGTAATAATAATAACAACAACAATGGCTTAAAACAAGATCACAATGAATATTTAAATAGTGAACGTCTTCTACGTAGATGGCCACGTATGACAACGACAAAATCAAGAGAAATGCCAAAGAATAAATTAGTTTATCTGGAAGAATCACCTAACTACTGTTATTTTGATGAAAGTATTGGTAAGTTAATTGAAGTTTTAGATTTCCCATCGACTGGTGATTGGACCGAAGTGCTCCTCGGTCTCAGGTTGATATGTCGGCTTCTTGTGCAGATGCTTCGATGATGTCTGAGCATTTAATTATTATTTCACTGGTGGATGGTGACTAGCTGTGGAATCCAGGATAACGCGCATTTCGTCCTATTTGGGACTAGTCATCTGGATGTACTTGCATTTCCAAGTGAGTGATGATTTTTCCACTGAGGCTCGAACCCAGTGCCCATAGTTTCAAACACCAAAGCGTTATCCAGTTGACCCCTTGAGGCACTCGTTGCACAAGAGATGTCTCTCGTGGCCCAAGTGATCTAGTGGATAACGCTTTGGGGTTTGAAGCTATGAGCACTCGTCTTGAGCCTTGGTGGAAACATCATCACTCACTGGGAAATGCAGGTACATCCAAACATCTTTAACACTTTTTAGAATTTTCAAGGGTTTGTTTGTAGGGATTTGATCTGTATCAATTTTGATCAGTGATTGATATCATTTAGAGAGGCGTTGGAAAACAAAGAGTACTAAACCGTTATTTCAATCTACTCAGGGACTCATCAGTAGTATACATCCAGTGAGTTTCGAAACTAGCACTTTCCAGTTCCCATTCAGACACTGGGATTACGAGCTTAGCTTGTAACTAGAAGGCCCTAGGTTCGAAACTCAGTGGATGCATACTGATGATGTATCCCTGAGTAGGACGAAACAGCTGTCTAGTACTCTTTGACGTTCAGTACTTCTCTAAATGATATCAATTCGTGATCAAACTAAAGGATTTAGGATTATTGTTTTCTTTCATGGAATCAGGCAAACATTTATTGGACGAAGTTAGAAAACTGGGAAATTAGTGTATCAGTACAGAATACTATTTGATGATATTAGATGGTTGGAAGCAATCGGCACGAAGCCTTAGACTGACTAGATTTCATGCTAGGTGGCACTCAGAAGTCAGCAAGATGTGTCAACAAATTCTAAAGGAACTCATGTCCCATTTGAGATTCGAATCCGCGGCGTCCAGTGCAGGAGTCAGAGACGTTACCTCTGATCTATTCGGACTCACGGTTGACCTCATGTAGGACTGTAGGGGATATTTTGATTGGACACTAATAACTAGTGTGATGTGTCTAGTCCTTTCTTTGTTGCACACTGAATTCCGTCAGTCATGTATGCAATGTGACCACTATTCTAGGTAGATCTCTGACAGCAGTACTCACTGGGTGATGCGGGTTCGAATTTCACAAGAGAAATGAGTTCCTTCAAAATTTTCAGATACCCGTTGGTGACTTGTGAGTGTCAACTAGCACGAAACCTAGGCAGTCCAAGGCTTCCTTTGGCCGATGGCTTTCAACCATCTAATATCATCAAATCAGTGTGCACCGTGACGGTAAGCTACCTAGAATGGTGGCCACATTGTAAACTTCACTGATAGAATTCAGTCTCCACCAAAGAAAGGACTAGGCACGTTAAAACTAGTTACTAGTGTCCACTCATAGGATACTATTAAAAATTCATGTTTTCCATTTACTAATACTAATGAATACCATTTACCTAATGAAAAAGAAACCTTTCAGACTACTAACTGCAGAATAGTTGTAGTTCATATGATATTGACTATTCTCTGGGGAATATTTGTTAGGTTACCAGTTGTTATTTTATGGAACACACCGGACAAGTCTAACAGATACCTGGACATATGTTACACTAGACTTGATTAATTTTTTATTAAAAAACAAACCTAAAGAGATTGAAAAAGAAAAACAGTAAATAATTTGTAGCTATATGAGAATTACTCAACATATAATTACTTCTTACTCCCCCACACCCACACCCACCAACAAATTGTTTTCATTCATTCTTATGAAAAGGGGTCACATTGTGTTATTTCTAAACTTTTTGGAATACTCTGATTATTCTACAGACAGAATCTTCATCTGTCTGACTCAGGCATTTTGGTAAGGCTTAATTTTGATTCTTTCTTACGCAATTTATTTAAAATTCAGTCCAGTAAAGGAGTTTTATTTAAAGACTAAACAACAAAATAGGGAGAAATGATCAATGGTTTTGTTTTTCCTTCCCTTGAGTTATGAGAAGGACTTAGTAGCAGTGCTGTTTTGTTCTATGAGGCGCTACTGTTGGTCTCACATTCGACCTTCACTCCTTTTCTGTCTTACTACCGGTCAAATGATGTTCAGTAGTACATTGGCCGGGTGTCTGCACCAATACCACGTGAGTAGTTGTTGGTGAGCATCCTAAGATTGGATTACCCATGCAACAGTTAGATTATTAGAATTTCCCTTAGGGTTAGCTTCATATAGGGTACGAAGTCTTGTGCCCGAAATGATAGTATAACATGAGTAATCCTAACTATTTTCTTTTTATTTTTTTATTTTTATTTACAGCTTGATTCCACACTGTATTTTCGGTACAAGTATGGAATTTTCAGCATGGATATCGGTAGCCCAAATTTTGCAGGCCGACCACTGATATCAGATGTGCGTCGGTGCGGGCTGGAACCCCGGACCATGTGCATGGTCGGCGAGAGTCCTAACCACTGTGCAACCGACGCACTAGGCATCAATATGGATATATAAGTCACCAGCCTAATGGTATAAGAGTGAAGTGATGTGTATGAATAGTTAGGATATATGCGTGTGTCCTAAGTTGATGAACTTTTTTGATACTAGAGAGGAGGTCATTTGATTGTTCTAGTCTATAAAGGATGACTACAAGTGAGTTAAGTACTGGCTACCGGCATAAAGCAAGTTTTATCTAAGGACGTGTCCATATTTTTCTAATTAATTACTGAATTATTTATATTTTTCAAGTTTTGATTGACAGGGATCTGATTGACTTCACTTTTGATCACAGACTGACGTCAATCAAACAACTGTTGAAAATCAAAGGGCACTGGACGACTATTTCGCCCCTGTTTGCAGCTCGTCAGTAGCACGCACTCATGAATCGATGTGGGATTGAACCCAAGACCTTCGGGTTTACCATTCAGACACTGGATGGAATCTGACAGCTCATCAACTATAACTTCTGACAATTCATGATATATAGCACAACTAATATCCAATGTCACTGGCGAGTGTTTACCCTCACACTCACCTCGGTGGTCACTGGTGACTGAGTACAGGATGAGGTTGGGTGAAGTTCTGGTGTGAAGTTGTGGTCAACCGGGTTCATCAAGTCAAGCAAGGGAATAGTTATTTGCCATTAAATGACAGTTGCACTACATATAACTCATGGGTCAGTGGATTTTGTCCCAGTGGCTGAACGGTCTACAAACTCTTCTTTTAAATGAGCCTCTGGGATGTGTACTACTAGAGAGTCCCAGGCCAGGATTATATAACTACTCAGTACATTCTACCGGTTTCCAGTGATTCTCTTACTGAAGTCATTTCACAATCAATCTTGAATTACTCATTTGATGTAACCATCTCGGTTGACCTTCTTTATTGTTTGTTCCACTGTATTCCTTATTGTCTTTGAAGTTAAATGCATCATTGGAACTCTTGTTGTTATTTCCCTTCTTATTGTCCTTTTACTGCTCTAACCTTCACTAAGTTAAATTAGCTATACTACTTTTCATAAGAGCATTCATGCATACATTTGAAAACACAGTAGACATTGTTTTAATCTCCTGACATTCTATTCACATTTCTTCTGTTTTTGCATTCATCAACTGTGTGAAGCTTTGCGATTAATGAAAAATTGCTTATATGATGCTTGAATATCTCCAGATTACTACTGTATAACATTTTACGAGTTGATCACGGATTGATATCAGTTAGAGAACCATTGAAAACCAGGGAGTACTGGACAGCTGCTGTTTCATCCTAGTTTGGGAATCATCGGCAGTACGCACCCACCACCACGTTTCGAACCAGGACCTTCCGGTTACAAGGCAAGCTGGCTCGTATACCATTCAGCCACTGGGCCCGATTCAATGGCTCGTGAATTCTAACTTCTACTAATTCGTGATTTAGCGCGTGATTTAGTGCGTACTGCCGATGATTCCCAAACTAGGATGAAACAGCAGCTGTCCAGTACTCCCTGGTTTTCAATGGTTCTCTAACTGATATCAATCCGTGATCAACTCGTAAAACATAACTAATCCTTACAAACCGAAACTATAGAAAGTATAACATTTTATCTTATTGCTCACCAGTCAAGCAGGATGAAAATGTAGTAGGCCTTTCAAGCTATTGTAGTCTTTAATCAACGTATATATATTTAGTTAGTGTATATAATAGTGAGTCATTTATTGTAGTAATTTATTGTACTTGAAGTATTAGTATACCGGGATGACGGAATTATAGGAATCTAATCAAAACCCAGAGAGGGCAGCAATCACGAATTTGTATTTAGCGGAATTAGAATGCAATTCATATATGAAACATATCAACAGTCAACAGTAAGATTTTAAACAATACAGAGATAGAAATTGTCAATCACCACATTTATCCAAAAAAGAAGGATTTACTGAATGTGGTATTAGTGTGTCAAGTAATTAATTCTATGCTAAATCCAGAAGTTCCAGTTATTTATTATTATTATTGTTACTACTATTAATATCATTACTGTCATTTATGTTAGCTTAGGAGACCTGACTTAGAGAAATACTAATGGCAATTATATAAAATAATTCTATTCTGTGGCTAGAAATTAAGGTCATACATACCCTAATCCATTGAAGGCTTTGTTGAACGAGTTATCATTAATCACATTTCATTTATATACAACCTCTAACCCTTTAAAATGTTAGTAGACTTTATGCAACTCATACTGTCATGTATATATATGTATATATAAATCCTTTTTGCCCTTATCATAGTAAAACAGACAGACAGATAGATAGATAGTATTTAGGCAGGGATAAAAATAAACTTCTCCAATGGTTTTATGATAAGGGTAATTTGTTGGTTTGTTTGTTTTGTTTTAAACATGTGAAATACAATGTCGTTTGTA